ATATCTCACGTTTGTTTTGTAGTGTAGGTAATGATGCAAATGCCGAGGATGTTGATACTGTTCCCTGTGACCAATGACTCATATGCTTGCCTTTACGATTAGGTTATGCTTTGAATAAATATTTAGTTTTTGAAATAATAAATGTGATGATGTTAAACTTACGAATTGAAAATTTTTACTTAGAATTTAAGTATAAATATTGAAACAAGACTATTTAGGAATTTTAATTATGATGAGAGATGTTTTTATAGATAATGAAATTTTAGAATAATACTTTCGCTATGTTGATGAGAATATCTCATGGCTATATACTATTAATGACATATTTTAAATTAACATATTTAAAGATAAATAAGATTAAATTAGAAACTTAATTTTAAGAAAACTAAATGATATAAGTTTTAGTATTGATCTGTTATATTATGACCCTTCAAGTAAGGTGTTTCGATTGACGACGTTACACAAATAATTTAGAGTTTGTTGTTATGAAGGATAAGGATTCACGGATGATTGTAAGATGATTTTAGGTGTTTCCCGAACCCAAAAAGCTTGAACGTACCTAGAAATTTAAGAACAAAAACCAGAACTTCAAGTCGAAGCCTAGGTGTTCATCCTCAAACCTAGAAATTCAAGTCGAAATCCAGAAAAAAACCCAAAAACTCAGAAATAAATTGTCCCGATTTCTTTTCTCTGTCACTTTCTGCTCTCCATTCCTTTTTCACACCTCACTCCCCTCTTTCTATAACATATAAACCCTCTATTTATACCCAATTTCATTAACCAATTTCCGCTCTCCGGCAAATCATTCCCTTCAAAAACCCTCTCTCTATTCTGTTATCATTCTAATGGTCTTAATTCTCTTAAAATTTTGCAGCGTGATTTGTGGACCAAGGGCCTGGATTGCTAAGCTGGCTAAACGAATTTCATTCCATTAGAAAACCAGGATCAATCAAAAAAGCATCTCTGGTCTTCAATCTGCAAGAAACGGTGAATGTTCATTCACTGGTTAATTTGGCTATAAATGTGCAAAACAATCCTCCTACTTTCATGAATTTTTTAATCTTATAATATTTCTTTCAATTATGCCCTTAATTTGTCTTATTTTTGTTCAATTTGACCCTTACTAGCTTCCAATTTCAAAATGATTTCATGCAATTATACACCTAATTAAAACCTATCCTCCAATTTCGTATTTTATATATTTTTTTATTATATGTATTTTTATTTCTTCTTTGCTACTTTTTTTAAACTTTATATTTTTTTTTAATAATAATAAGTACTAAAATAAAAGTAAAAATAAAATGAAATGAAAAAAAGAAAAATAGAATGATACAAAAATAATGAATAACTAAAATAATAAATAAAGTAGGATAAAATAAATGATAACAATAATAATAAGAATAAAAAAAGATAAAATTAGGAGGGAAAAATATAACCCAAGATTTGGGTTATGAAAATATAGATATGATCATAGGATTCACTTTTTTTTTTTTTCCCTTTTGTCACGAGTAGAGTTCCCATTTCTATAACAAATTAAATGAAAATAACTCACCTAACAATAACCGATTAAAATTAGGAGAATACTAAGATAAAAAAAGAATAAACAAATTAAGAGAATAATTGCTAATTGTTGATAATTTTTTTTAAAGTTAATTATATATGTTTTCATGGAGTTGGATCAATTAATTCTTAGATGCAGTTATTATTTTTAAAATTTCACGCTCCTTAATTTTCTAAAAGAACAAAGAAGAAGAAGAAGAAGAAAACTTTCATGCTCTTTCTTTTCCCTCTTTCTCCCTTAATGTCCAAACATGCTCTGGTGTTCGCTATGGTCTGCATTTTCACACTATGATAAGGTCCTTCACCTTGTGGTTTGGATAGTAAACTATATATAACCGCACAACCAGCGTTGAACGTCTTTCGATCGGTACTCTATATGACAAACCCTATCTAAATGTTATAAACTGAGTTTGTATAATAGTATTTACTCTCTTTCACAAATGAATCTGCATAAATATTAATGTCGAAGAAAAGGGATAATTATAATTCTGCATAACCAAATCCTTTACCAGGCAAAAAAAAAAAAAAAAAAAAAGAGCAAGGAGTATATATGACGTGAACAGCTGACTGTACCATTCAAGATCCTTCACACAAGTAGAGGTAACTACCATCGATTAGCTAAAATTGACCATATTCAAAGCAGCAAGAGATACAAATCTTACACGCTAAGGATTTTTGCTTAGTACATTTTCCTTCATTGCAATTTCAGTATTTATTGGTGATCTTACCCATTTAAAATTTCACAGACGAGTAGAGTTAATGTTACCGAAAGTGTATATATATATTTTTTGAATTCACTTTCTTTATAATATATAAAAATAAAAATATTTATTTGTATTTATATAATACTCAAAGTCTTTCGGTTATTTTTAGATTTTTAATTATATCCAATCTGTTTTTTAAAATTTTTAAATATTCAATTTATCATTCAGATCAAATTTTTCGATCATGAAAATTTGTTTTGATCGAAATGCCTTAATTTTACTAAAAAAAATAAAAATAAAAATAAAAATAAAAGTCACATAACCTTCATGTTTCTTTTTTTAAAATCTTTAAAATTTTATTTTATTTTTTTTGCATTTCAATCGAGTATATTTCGATCAAAATAATTTTATTTGATAAAAAAATTAATTAAAAATATATATTGAATATTTCAAATACTTTTAAAGACAAATAAGAGACAACTAAAAAACTATGAACATATAAGTTTTTGATTATTATATAACAACATAGGAGTATATTTATCCTTAAAAAACGAGGTTTTCCTCTGTTATTGTGTCTAATTTGATTTATTTTTTGTTCCATAGGTTTGCCAAGTTTCGGAAGATTAACAAACGGCACTAAGAATAGAAATATTTAACTAATAATAGGAAAGAAGCCACAGAACGAGTATTATCCAGTATAAGGAATGTACATATTATCATCGGCTACTTTCATTTAATGGTGACCTCGCAAGAATGCTTGTCGTGTAACAATTTCGTTCTCAATTATCCCTCAAACTATATACCTAGCCACGATTGTTTGTCCGGACGTTCTTTACTTTTTTGTATTTGACTGTATTTCGAAAAACTAATGAACGGAATTTTCTTTTTCAGTTAAAGGAAAAATTTATAAACAGAAAAGTGTTTTTCTATTTAAAAGAGGGAAAAACAATTTCCATTAAAGAATTTAAAAAAGTGGCAACCTATTCATTATTCCTATGTATATAAATACTATTATAAATATTTTAAATTATATAATATTATTAGGAAAAAAATAATAGATTACTAACACACACATATATATAGTGTTAATAAATATACTATACTACACTACATATTAGATCATATAAGTTTTGTTATAGAAATAGCATATAATAGAAAAGAAAATTATTTTTATTATTCATTAAACACCAAAATTAGTATTGTTTTAAAACTTTCTACTTTTTTAAAATATTATAAACTTAAAAAAGCTATTTTTCAACTTATTTTCTACGATATGATTAAACATAGTAAATGATTTTGTATTTATTTTTCATGATACAATAGAACATTGAATATATATATATATATTGAAAACTATTTTTATGAAATTTATTTTTTGAAAACAAAAATCACCTTTCGACAAACAAACCGATAGTAGATTGATAGTGGATCATCCACCACTTCCCCATGCTTAAATTTTTTATTTTAATTAAAAAAAAGGATAGAATTCGAATTCATATTCGTGACTTTTTTTTGAAAAATAAAATATATTAAAACACTGGCAAAAATACAGCAGGAAAGAATGACCTGCTTAATTTATATATAGTGGGGTTTTGACAGGTTAGCTGTTAAATTTGACCCCACTTCATTTATTGTTCCCTGGACGGGCCAGTAACCGAAACCCACCGCCCATTATTTATGGCTTTCGATCCCTTCCCTGATAGTCCCTCTCATCTCCTTTCCATTCACATAGTATTTTATTGCATTCTTCATTCAAAATAGTAAGATGCTCTGTGTTTTTTTGACACGTTGACTTGCCGTTGTGAACAATTTAGTCCTGGGCGTCAGTAGGTTGATTGAGACCTCCATGCATTTCTTTCGCTTGCATTAAAAATTTAAAATAATTTAATTTCCTTTATTTAATCTAAATTATTAATTGAATTCCAAATGAATGGTGATATATATATATATTTTTTAACTATAATATGAATAGTAATATTTAAAATATGATTGACCTTATACATATTTTTTTTTCCGAAGATGAGAATGCCTATATCTAATTAAACTTAACAATAAAAATTTAGATATTTAGCTTAATATCTCAATTAGTGTTGTCGGTTACAACAGATTTTCCCATAAAACCCTAAAAATTAAATATTTAAAAACACAAAAGAAAAAGAAAAAAATGATCAGCGATTCGTCAAACTCCTTTTTAATTAAGTTATTACTTGGAAGAAACCTCTCATCTCACATGGACATGGGATGATTAGTCAATTCCCCCCACCTCCACCAAAAAATAAATAAATAAACAGTTACCAACATTTCCTACTCCAGGTATGGGAATTTTGGACTCACAGTTGGCTGTACTAATATTTTTAAATATATTTTCAAGTCACTGCTTTTCTCTGTTGCCATGCATGGTGGTTGAGCTATCCATCGTTGATTTCTTGGTACTCACCATAAATTCAAGAATATCATTCCATCTTTCTTGTACGTACTTGATACACTAGAGCTTTAGTGGTCTACTTTCCTCATATATCTTTACCTTCCTCCCTCTAGCTAGCTAGCTTGGATCACCTAACTGTTTTTAGACGTGTAGGGCTTTCTTTCAATTTAGCATTTTGTTATTCTTTGAAGGGTGATTTAGGTCAGCTTCTTAAAGACTTTTGTTTATAAATTTGCAAACCTCTCATCCATTTTATTTCAAACAAACATAAAACAAAGAAAGAGAGAAACGCATTAACACATACGCCCAAAATGGATAGTATAGAGATGGATAAGGAAAGACTTACGGCGGATATGGCCTTTAAGGACTCCTCCTCCGCCGTTATCAAAATCCGTCAACGTTTGCCGGACTTTCTACAGTCCGTTAAGCTCAAATACGTCAAGTTAGGTTATGGCTATTCATGTAACCCTGCAACCATTCTCATGTTTCTCATAATTGTGCCTTTATTTATAGCCATACTAGTTCAATTCTCTGGTCTAGAACTATACCGGGTTTATGAATTATGGAGGACTCAATCCCTTGATCATGACTTCGATGTGGCCACTAGACTTGCCGGTTCAGCCTTTTTGTTCTTTCTTCTTGCAGTCTTCTGGACTAAACGGTCCACGCCAGTCTATCTAGTCGACTTTGCATGTTACAAAGCCGAAGACGAGCGTAAAACATCAACCGAGTCATTTTTAAAGATGGCAGAAGATCTCAGGCCATTTGACGATGAGACTCTTCAATTTCAGAGACGGATATCAACCCGGTCCGGTCTTGGCGATGAAACATATATCTCAAGAGGACTAAATGCTAAACCACCAAATTTGTGCATGGAAGAAGCCCGGAACGAGGCCGAATCGGTCCTGTTCGGTGCAGTAGACGCTCTTTTAAGCAAAACCGGAGTTAAGCCAAGAGATATCGGTATCCTTATTGTGAATTGCAGCTTATTTAATCCGACACCGTCTCTATCTTCAATGATAGTGAATCGCTACAAGCTTAGAACGGATGTCAAGAGTTACAATCTTGGTGGCATGGGTTGTAGTGCAGGGCTTATCTCCATCGACCTTGCTAAAGACCTACTCAAAGCAAACCCCAAAACCTATGCTGTTGTGGTAAGCACTGAAAACATAACTCTCAATTTTTATATGGGTAATGACAGGTCAATGTTATTATCCAACTGCATATTTCGCATGGGTGGTGCTGCTGTTCTTCTCTCAAACAAAGCAAGAGACCGTGTCCGGTCCAAATACCAGCTGGTCCACACGGTTCGAACACACAAAGGGGCAGATGATAGAAACTACCGATGTGTTTATCAAAGAGAGGATGATGAAGGACATGTTGGTGTGTCATTAGCTCGTGAATTAATGGCAGTAGCTGGCGATGCCTTAAAAACGAATATCACTACATTGGGCCCTTTAGTACTGCCTTTAAGTGAACAATTCATGTTTTTTGTCGCACTTGTTAGAAGAAAGCTGTTGAAAGCTAAAAATAAGCCTTACATACCTGATTTCAAGCTTGCATTTGAACATTTTTGCATCCATGCTGGAGGTAGAGCTGTTTTGGACGAGTTACAGAAGAATTTGCAACTCAGTGATTGGCACATGGAGCCATCAAGAATGACTTTGCACAGGTTTGGTAACACATCAAGTAGTTCATTGTGGTATGAATTGGCTTACACGGAGGCAAAGGGTCGGGTCTCCGGTGGGGACCGAGTATGGCAGATTGCATTCGGGTCGGGTTTCAAGTGCAACAGCGCGGTTTGGAGAGCACTGAGGGAGATTCCAGCTGGGGAGACAAAGGGCAACCCGTGGATTGACTCCATTGATAGGTACCCGGTCAAAGTTCCAGTTGCCTAATTGCTTACGTGGCACTGTATTATTGTATGTGACACTACGTTTGGATGTTGGCGTGCTCTGTGTGTCTTAATTAGATTTTACTATTTTTATTTTTGGCCTTTCTTTCTTCTGTATCAAAAGTAAGCACCACGCCATCGTTGTCTTTTATCAAATTTCACGTATTAATATGCTGGGAAGAGTCTTGTAATCAAAGCCAAGATGATTGGATGTACTATTCCAAAATAAAGGGAAAATGTAATTTAGTCACAAATTTGTGATAAAACATCCCCAGAGTCTGATATCGATTGTTCTAATTCTGGATGTATGACTGATATATCCAGCAGCTTCTCACTTATCAGATTTAAATTAGCTGTGTTTGTCTACGGAAGGCTCATCTAGATGCAGAGCAACATATTCACAGTACCAGCTAGTCAATGGAATTTTTGGGCATGCTATCAATAAGGAACTGTTTCCTCAAAATTTGGGTGTTTTCTATTCAAATCCTATGGTATGGAATATATATATATATATATATGACTTACTTTTATTCCGTAGCCCTAAATCTTATGAACTTTTTATTTTATGCAGAAACTTACATCTCATTTAGTCACAATCTAATAGTTGTGTATTCAAGAAGGAATTTTAAGTCTCATCAATAATTCTAATTTATTTAGTGAGTATCTCCATTGCTTTGTACGCACAAGATCCACGAATCTCTTGATGAAATGAAAAAAAAAAAAAAACATTTGGATGTTTTCTATTCAAATCCTTAGACATTGGAAGATGATTTTTTTTTTTTAATTTTATTTTGCAGCTCTAAATCTCATATTTGTTTAATCTTAGCCTTCTAAATTAAACAAAGGTTTAAAGTTTTATTTGATGATTTTCTCTTATTTAACCAAATTTACTTATTAATTTTTTTCTATTTATAATTTAACCAAATTAATCTATTTTCTTTTCCATACTACCAAAATTAATGCATATTTTATAAATATAAGATCTGGCCTCTCTCATCTCTTGCATAATTTTTTTTAAAAAAACTAATCTCTTTTCCAACTATTCATATGTGAATTTTTATTTTCTTTCAGTAAAATCTTTAAAATTAGTATCAAGTTATTAAAAAAAAAAAAAAAAGGTCAAGTTATGACCAAAGTAAAACTAGTAAATTCAACTAAGAAGTTTAATTAAATGTAAGTTGTAACACTTTCGTTGTAAAATCTAGAATTTTATTTGATCAATAGAAGGAAATATTTATTAGAAAGCATTAAAAAACCTTTTTGGACTATTTCAATATATCCTTCATTGATAAACCTTTAAGAAGATGACTAGCTAGTTATAATTTTTCAATATCCACTGAAAAGAACATGTCAAGCTTAACTAGAGTTGTTATGAGAGATTATACAAATTTCGCTCCATATAATTTAGATTTAAAAGGAAAATTTTCATTTATGCGAGTAAATTAATTATTTAAAATTCAATAAATATATGCATCCATTATAGTTTGTACAATTAGGATTTACAAAATATAGTACATGATGTAAACATTAATTAGCGAAACCCATTATTTACACCAGGCATTTTCATAAATCCTTCAAACAAATTAACTCATGTGTTTTCAATTTAATCAATTAAACATGTGTATTTCTAATTTTAGTTATTTGAATATAATTTTATAAAATTGATAATTTTTATACATTAGATTGAATAAAAATATAATATACACGTGTATAAAAATTACATTTGGGTTCCACTCTATATGGTTATATTATTTTTTATTCAACTTAACCCATAAAATTATTGATTTTACAAAATCGTATTTCATTTAATTGAAAATTCCTGTATTCAATTGATTAAATTAAAAACAAAAAAAATTATTTTGCAGATTTATGAAAACTTAGAGCGCAAATAATAGATTTAGCCACATTAATTTGAGGGGGAGTACAAATAAATATTCAATGTACAACGAGAAACTAAATAGAACGAAGTTTATCTCCTCATTATAAAGAAAGGTGACATGAAGAGGGATGCTAGAGGGTTTTGGCTGGTGATGCTTCACAAATGCATTTATAGATTCCTTTGGCCAGGGCAAAACGAGACACAAGAAATTAGAAGAAAAAGCTTGGCTTGGCATTTTTCTTTCTGTTATTTTTATGACGATGATTTGTAGATGACTAGATTCAGCAGAGCAAGTGATTAAAAAAGAAAGATGCAGCTCCCTTTTTACCTTTCTAATTTGGCTATTTTCTCATTGCTTTAGAATGTCACAGCTTTGTTTAATGAGGCATGATTTTCACATATTGCCTGCAGTGTGTTTGCTTGATGATACAGATTCAATTTTGAGATGGCTTCAAAAGCAAAAGGGGGATTTCTTTTTCCATAACCTCAATTTTGTCAAGGGTATCGAAGCGTAATAGTCTTTTCTTTTCTTTAGGGTCAATAGATTTTGTTAACGGAAAGAACTTTTTTTTTCCCTCATATAAATACTTCTTTTAATAAAACATATTTGGCTATTGTAGCCCATGAATTGTGCATTCAATAACTTCTTTTAATAAAACATATTTGAGTCTCGATAATTTCAATTTATAAGTAATTGAAAAAATATTTTTTTATTACATAATAATAAGTATCCCCATAAAAAAAAAAAAAACAATTTAAGTTTGTATAACACCAAAAAAAAAAAAAATTATAAGTTTGTGTCAACCAACATTTATGGTTTTACACGGAAGTTAGGCCCTGTTAGTTGGTCCAACCTTGGACTTCTTCACCAAACTAAAACAATCTTGAGAAAGATATTGACCTCAAAAATCAGAATTATTCTTTCTTCTTCTTCTTTTTTCACAGAAAGGGCTCAAACGTCAGGAAGAAACAGAACTATCCACAAATTCTGAAGTCGTCTAAACCAGCAATACATTAATCTCTGCACAGCTTATGTCTACGCTTTCATCAAGTCCTTCAACTTTCTCACGACCTAATTAAATTTTTGTCGAGGGGATTGAAGGGTAACTTTCTTTTCTTTTAATGAACATTTTTCGTGTTTTTAGATCTCCACACACTAAAAGATACTTTCAGGAGATTTTGCAATATTTTAGTATAAATTTTCTTCTAAATAACAATCAATGATGGTATAAAATCTAGTACTAATTAATATACTAATTTTAAGGAGATTGAAATCCTTAGTCTGCTTATAGCCATGCCATAATTTATTGATTGTTGGTTTAACAATGACGATAGATATTAGGTAGGAACCATGCATGACCGTCGCAGTAACCTGCAGCCAACTAAAAGAAAAGGGTAGTTTCACCAATTTCATGTAGAGTGGATGATGCATTTACCTTTTCTTTGGTATATAAAATAGCGGTTCCTACAAGCTACTTCATACCCATCAAGAGGTCCCCTTTTTCTCTTACGAGCAACAATTTTTAACTCTCTGCCGATCAACATTTATGGTCTCTGGGGAGTTTGGTCCTCTTTATTAATTCGTCCGATGTATTCACTAAACTAGAACAATCTTGATTCCGCCGTCGATATTTAAACTAGTAATTTAATTATCTATAAGATTGTATTTAGTATGGTGAATAGGATGAAATAAATAAAAGCAGACGACCAAATAAACCGAACTAGACTAGATAATAGATGAGATTGAAGTAAACTAGACTAGGCAAGTATATTTTATTCTCCTGTATTTGTTATAATTTCATGCGACATTACAAGGGTTGTATGAAGTTTTTATAAAAGTTCACTTTGATTCTTAAAAATTTTCAGCTATTTATTTTAGTCTCTATAGTTTATCTTTATGACATTTTAGTCCTTAATAAAAAATTGGTTCTCTAACTTTTAGCATATGCAATTTAGTTCCTGAATCAAAAAAATTTTATAATTAAACTCATATATGTAAAATTTTATTTTAATAAAATATAACTAAATTTGATCAAATTTTAGTCAACCAAACTAAAAAATAAACAATGGATGATATAAAAAATAATGATTTTGTTCATAACAAACTTGTTTAACCCAGAATAAAAATTTTATTTTCGTAACAATTTTGGACAGGACAAAACAAAAATCCTGCTCAAAGTGTACACTAAACACTGCATAGTTTATTATGTTATATATAATATATACAAAAAATACTGTACAAATTATCTAATCATATTCAGTATTAATATGTATGCAGTATAGCAAACACATCCTAACAATCACGACAGGTGCTAGGTAAGAACCATGACCAGTACAGTAATCAGACAGGAGACAGCAAAATGCAAAGGGCAATTTCACTAATTTTGTGAAATAGTGGTCCAGACAAGATACTTCTTACCCCATCAAAGAGTATGGCGCCTAATCCCACACACAGTGACGATTGAAGAAAGTAATTAATAGCTTTAAAGTATTCTAAATCAGATTATTAAACAATAAACTTGAAATAAAAAGAATTGTACATATATAAAAGTAAATAAATAAGGTATAAAATGTGTAGAATTAAGCAATGATCGTTGACGTTTCTAATTGATAGTTTGCTTAATCATATATAAATTATGAAAGCGTAAAGGTTATAATTTATAAAGAATAAAAAACTTGTGATATTAAAGATTTTGTTAGTTAAAAAAAATTGTAATCTCAGGAGAAAACACATTAGATGTGATGCCTCGGAAGAGCATATATGAACTGAGAATTTTTTGCATGAAAAATTTTACACTTTTTTTAAGGTAAGTGTGTTTTTATGGGATGAGACTCTTAAAAAGATTAATTAGTACACGAAGTTTGACTGATTTTTCATAAAAGAGAAAATATATAAGAGAGAGAATTAACTTTATGGAATCAATTAAATTTTGTAGCATTTGTAGTAGTGTCAAATTAGAAAATCAATTTAAAAACAACTAAATTTTAATCATATTTATGTCTTGATAGTTGATTCAAGTGATGACAAGAAGATTCATTCATTTTAGGAGTTCAATTTCGAATTCTATCACTCATATTTTAGAGAGATAGCATATTTATTTCAAATTTTATAAAAATTTTAAATCCCCTTAATGTTGCATATAATTTTAAATAAATTTTACAAAAACCTCTTTAAATAACAATAAAAAACGATAAAAGTATATAACTTTATTTATTTAAATATCACTATTAATTCTCGTTGTGTATGACTATATTAAACTGGTCATATTCGTCAAAGTATTCTAAATTTTAGTTTCGAGATAGATATCGTAAAAACTTTTTAGATATAAGAAGATGTGAAAAACACAATACTGTTTATACCGAATATTTTGTCATTCGATTTATGCATCTATTTTTCGGGAAAAAAATCTAATTAAATTGATTCCTCTATATATTGACTCCATACCCATAGTCCAAAGTTTGGATCCACCTTGGCCCACACTGCCTCACCACACACGTGTAGAGTTCTTCCCCGCCACACTTGTTTGGAGATAAAAATTAAAAACTCGAGTAACTACAGATTGCAGATAACCAGCTAACATCAACTCCTGTCTGTACGAAGATTCGAACTCAAACGTTGAGCAAAGAGAGCAAACATACAACACCAAGGCTTCGCTGGCAATGCGACCAGTTTTGAACTCAAGAGGTCCAAAAACTGTCTCAAACCTTAGCCGCAAAAAATAGGCCCAAATGTGCGAAAGTTTAAAGACTAACAAAAATCTCAACACATGATCAGTAATGCCCTGAAACATCATGTGGTGGGCTATGTCCCCAGTGCAACAAAAACCATGCTTCCCTCTCATCCCAAGACCCACCAAATCGGTGTCTCCCCTCGTCACCATCTCAGCTAAAGCTCAACCTTCCAGCCACCAGGCTTCTCCAACATCGAAACACCAACAGAAACAAGGGGAAGGAAGAAGAACAAAGCAACTAGATGGGTTAGATGTGCTTTGGGCTATGCAAAGAGCAACTGCCGAGAAAAACAAAGTGAGTGGTGGCGGTGGTTATAAAAAGAACAATAAGAAGAGAAAGGGTTTTGTCTCTAGGGGCATCCAGAGAGAAGAAGATAGCGTGGACTATAGTAATGTGAAGCCTTTGTGCATAAAGAATGATTGGGATGTCAGATTGGATGAGTTGGAAAAGCGTCTTCAGGATCTCTCTGACACCAAATGAAGAAAACTGAGGCTTGTGTTTCAGTGTTTTGTAAATAATTGCTTCGTAATTGCTCATCTTTTTTTTCCCTCTAAATGTTACACAAATATATAAATATTTGGACTTAAATTCACAGACCATGTCAGAAGTTTGTTTGTATCGTTTTTCCTTTTTTTTTTTTTTTGGGTTGCTGTGAAAATTTGCAATCCATAATTCATGTTAGAATTTTCATTTAGTATTTACTTCTATGATTTAGCATTGTTGTATTCGTTAGAGTTACAGGCTTTTGTTGGGATTAGGATGCCGCATTGTTATTGTCATAAACTCATGTTTTAGCATTGCTAGGATGAGGGAAGATTGGTGGGAGGTTTCTGTTGCTCATGTAGGCTTGTTTCATAGTTACCAAAAATGCAAATGGCCCTCAATCTAGTGTTTAGGAAAGGAAAGGTTTTCTGTTTTTCTCAATTTGTTGTGGTTTGTTGGTTTAATGTCTCTTATCTTATATGGCGTTTGTACAGCCATGATTCTGGTTGGTGTTTAGCCATTTTAGTTGCTTGTGTTTTTTATAACACAGAAGTTATCATGTTCATCGGCTTTCCAGTTTACTGATAAAGCTTCAATCTTGGTTCGTTTCAAGTTTAGCTAAAGGAAAAGAAAGGATATCGAACAGTGTTAAATAGCGGAAATATGCGTACAGAAGAAATTTTTTGCTGTGTTTCCATTCTCAAATCTTTTTTTTTTCAGGTTGTTTTTCATATTTTTATACTGAATTATTGACAAATTTTGGTTTGGGAGTAGTTAATGATTTCTATAACTTGAAGTCACTTGCTTCTGAAATCAATTAGGAGTACTTGAAAACTTCTTGACTGACCAGATTAGATCAATATATGATCAATCTTTTTCCTACTGCTCCATCAAAAAAATGATCTTAGTTTAGAGATGACTAGTTTGCCTTTGTTTGTTGTGAATTTCTTTATTAATGATTTGTAATTCATTTACCGAATTTCTAAGTTTTGACGTTGTGATCCGGTCGTATATACAGTTCCGAAATATGAGATTCTGTGCATGCAAGCTTCCTACTGAAGATCTTAGTTCCAAAACCTATGTGTTTCCGTCCTTGTGGTGCATTCGACCATATTAGACACCAGAAAGGTAAAACTATGCTGTAGAACTGTCTAATATAGTATTGTTTGCCTTACTGGACACAGTATTGAGTTGTTTTGATCCTCGAAAGAACTAGTTGGTTGAAGGCTAGAAGCACGAACTTGTAAAACCCTGAGGAGATCATTCTGATTGAGATTATAATCCCTATTGAAATACGTATCTGAGAAACAGCTACGAATCTCTGCGTTTTGTTTTCCTGTGACATTTATCAATTCAGGTCACAGTATTGAAATATGCTGCAGGACTGTTCCAATTGTGCAGCCGACTCATCTCCTGGTTAACAAGAGCATCTTTAATGATGCTCTCTATTTTTAGGTAATATTTTTAATGTAAATAGAGAGCATCATTAATTATATAGATTGAAGATCAATGTCATCTTCAATGTTATTCTCTACTTTAACTTTTTATTTTGACAAAATTCATAAAACTTAGAGAAACTATTAGTGAAAAGTGCGAGTGATATAGTAAAATAGTAATTTTTATTAATGAAATATAAGATAAAAAATCATTTTTATTAATGAAATATAAGATAAAAAATCATTTACTCTCTTTAGTATTAGAGAGCCCAAGATACTCTGTATCTCAATTTTAAAAATAAAAATTATGATAAAGAAAATATTGAAGATGAAATTTGAATCTAAACCTTTTTATTATAGAGAAAAATCTTTATATAAAGAAAATATTGAACTTTTTCTCAAGCCTCTGCATCTACAGCCTACCCAAGGAGCCCAACGTTCAACTTGTCAAATCAGGTGCATTTTGTTAAATGGAATACCTCTCATGCCACGCTTCAATATTTTCCATTAAAATCATCCCCAGCAAATTTTCACATTAACAAGCAATTCTCGTATTAACATATTATAGCCACTTTAAAAGAGGGCATGCTGTTACAGCCGTTTGTTGTGACAACAATGTGCCTCGCTGCCAAGCAGCTTTTGCTTATTCTGCAACTAACTTCAACTTCAGAGCCTGCACTTAATGAGCAAGGCATAGAACCTAAAGCCACCATGAAAAATCCCTAGCAACATCGACGATATCGCTGTTACGTTTCATAAAACATTTGAGCTCATTTAAAGGCAGAAATACGATCCAGACTTGACCAAACAGCAATTAGGAATTTCAAGAAACAGAACACTACAGTCTTCAGGCACCTGGCACTTCAGATCTGAAAATGTTGCTTGTACAGTACTAAAACAAAACAGATGCTATTTTTGTATGCTTGCTGGGTACCATAACACAAAGCCAACAAATAAAACAACAATGTGACTTAGCTGTCAACTGTCTCCTACCATATCAAAGTCACAGTACTTCCATCCTACTCTAACATCCTCCTACTTCCTACGTTTCATTTTTTTCTTTTTTAAAATTCCAGAGAGTTGTGAGGTGGAGCAAAAGGGAATGAGTGATAGCTCTGTTATTTGTTCCGCGAAACAAGTCATCCAACCATAATGTTTCTCGATTCCCTGAAAAACTACAACACATCTCCACACCTCTACCACTAATACGGCCGGTACCTTCTTCCCCGATTGCCATCATCACTACTACTACCAGCTCGCCCAGGCCCACTTGGACCATTGCCACGATCAACTCTTCGAGCCCGAGGCTGTGGCATCTGTACTCCAGGCTGCTGACTGCAGAATAACAAAACACCAAACCAATGGTTGGATATCAATCTAAAATCTATCTCACTTGCAAGTAAAAGGAACAGAAAGAAAAGGCAACTCACAGAACATAGCCAATTCGACCATCTGGTAAAACCATCGGCACCATATGCATCCCTGCTGGCATTGGACCCCTACCATATATAACCGGCTGTTTGCAATGCAAGTTCATGAGATTAAATTTGATGCTACAGGAACTGAATCAAATGTCAGAATGACCAACATACCTGCTGAAAACCAGCAGCAGCGCCAAATCCAGAGCCCATAGAGCCATATGGGTTCCCTGCAAAGCCACTATATGCAGGAAGGGGAACAGGGTTTGGATGAACTCCAGTATTGTAAGGATAAGCCCCATCAGGTTTTTTATCAGCCTGAGGCTTAGCAAGGACAACCTCCAACAACTGACCTGCAGTTAAATTCATTAAACATGTTATTTGTGACCATAGCACTTGTTCTGTGACAATATGCATGCGTTACTACATTTTAAACACCTAAAGCACTATCATGCCCATGTAAGATGGATACATAAATTAACCTCTTCATATTGATTCCAGACTTGCCAGGAAGACATCCTGTGGCTACATTTATCATGAGATTTTAAAGTCCGAGTTAGACAATTTCCATTGAAATTACCAACTATCCAAGGTTTCAAGCATTATCTTCTTTTTTTTCTTTTTTCACTCATGGTAGATGAACCATGGCCACAATTCACCGACATAGAAATGGGTTCTCATTGGGACAGTATAATGGTTTTAGAGACAAGGGAATATGAATGCACAACCCCCAACTCCAAAGGGAGATGCCACATTCAATTAGGCTCTATACCTCAGCATCAAAAATTTGCATATCTAATCTTTTAAAATCAATAACATGAGACAATAATGATTAGAGAAGAGGTGTATCAACTAATTAGTCTCTAGCCTATACCTCTGCTCAAAGTCTTGATAAACTTCTAAAATTCAATAATATGAGAAAACAGTGATCCAAGGAGTGGTGCAACAAAAAATTGGACTATCCATCAGAAAAAGACAATTCCGACATCTATTAAAGGAAGATAGAAAGTTTTTTAATTTTATTTTACAACAAAAAAAAGAGAGGAATATTTAATTGCAGACCTCCATGAGATCTTGTTGCTATCCTTAGACATCATAAACAAGTCCTTCAACCTAGGTGGGCCACTCCACATGTTGGCCACCAAAAGCAAGGAATCCAACATATCAGAAGCTACTGAACAACATAAGTGAGACTAAATTTTCCCACTTTGTGACACACAACATGCATTAGGTAACAAGGCCTTGAATGCAACTAATTTGCCATCCTTGGGTAGCTTCCTAATTTGCAATAGCTCTTGTTAGGCACCATCTGGATAACTTAACATCAACCCCTTACTTTCCAAATCTAAATTGCTAGGGAAAATGAAGTGTAATTGGGGTCTGGGAAGAGAAGACAAAGAAAGGATTTGCAGGTTAAGAAAGGATTTGCAGGTTAAGTCCCACAAACTCTGCAAAAACCATTATCTACTACCTAACATTGCAGAGGATGAACAAGAATAATGGTAATGAACAAAAGATCTTTGGTTTCACTGTCATTAGGGTCCTTCAAATAACCCAAATTCCAATTAACATCAACCCCTTCATAAAAAGAAAACTAGAAACAGGTGCAATGTGCATATTGTAGAGGTGAGGGTCTTGCCAGAAATGAATCCAGGAACCATTATGAAATTTTTATCTAAAGAGGGAAGAAATGTAAAATGAATTTCTGAGGGCCTGAATGATAATGTTGTCAGGTATTCTAACATTGCTGTCTCAACCACCCGCCTAAAGCCTGTAATTACTGCAAGTGACCTTGCACCATAGAGAATCTGATCTTGGTGAAAACAATCACTCACGAGAGAATTATATTTTGAGTCAAGTGAACCAATACCAAACCCCCATATGTTTTGCCTTACAGCATGTCTCTGGACAAACTAATTCATTAACCTCAGTTCGACTCGGAAGGAAATTTCACATCAGAATTTCTAGACAAGCATCCCTCATGAAAAACAGCCTCCTGTCTAGAGAGGGAGAGAAGGCACAATCCTATTCATCTAACCATTCAGTATCTTGGACAGATAGAGACTTTCATCAAGAGAAACTATAAAAAAATTTCAAGTGCCAATCCAAAATGACACATCTGGAATGAGAACGAAACTCTGCCATCATGTCCAGCTCTAAATGAATCCCCAAACAATGATTCTAACCTATTAATCTACAGCATAGGCACCTTTTTAAAATCTGCAGTAAAGATAAGGTGCCAGAACCTTACCTATCATCATCCAGGAAAAGAATTGTATCATCTATAGAGATCATCAGACCCCAAACACAACCTTCTCAATACACCACTTTGTAATAATATGTTAATCACCCCCACTGTGGACATCCACCACTATTATAAAGACAAGGGGCAAAGGGATATAATGAATACCATTTGAACCCCAAAAATAAAAGGCTTACTGGTGGGGGAGTGCCAAAGGTTAAAAAAAAAAATCCTCTCAAGCACTTTCTCCATTCGACTCCAAACCTTTCAGGGAAATTCTTATTCACCTGATTGTAAGCCCTTTTAAAGCTAATTTAAATCCCACCCTCTTCCATTTCTCCTAAACTCCTTCACCTCATTAGCAAATAGCAACATGTAAAATCTGCTAACCACCAACAAAAGTGTTATGGGAATACAAGATTTGAGCTCCCTGACACTATGAGGAACCTCTTAACAAATTTCTTGGGCAAAATCTTATACATGCTCATCACCAAACTAATAAAAGGCAAATGATGCTCCTTTTCTTGTGGTCAGGCCACAGTTTCCTCAACTAACCTATGGTTTGGAAAATAAGACCTTGCATCCCCATCCCCTCCACCAGAATTGATGTGTGGAATCACTTTTATTTCTAACTCAACAGCCAGAAAGAATTTTTATCGCGCTATTTTATTGTGGGTTTAATGATTTCTTTGAAAATCCATCCGTGTGTAAAAAAGATCAGTGGAACAAGTGTCATGTTGCAAGATGCAGGTGGAATGGTTGAAATGGCCTACAGATTGAAATGATAATTACCATCAATTTCATATTTCTCTGTATCTCTGACTGCCTTCAATGCGCTTGACCTTTCAGCATAGTGAATGAACCCAAAATCTCGTTTTCCAGCTTTGCCAGGTGGCATAACAACTTTTGTCACATCCCCATGGCGTTGAAATAGTTCCTTCAGTTTCTCGGTAGAGGTGTTCTCAGGTATGTTTTTCACATACAGAGCCTTAACCTGGAATTCAAAACAGATACATTTTGTAAGCATATCAGGTTAAATTATTTAGTATGCAGGAAAGGAAGCAAAAGAGAGAGAAGAAAGAGAAAACTCTCTTGCTTCCAGAGATAAAGATCAAGACTTATTTACTACAGATAAATAGCAACCATCAACTTTATGTGTCTCTTAGTTCTTGCCAATTTGGTGGTTGCAAATATGCTTACAGATATGGCAATGCATCTTCGGAAGAAAATTGAATGCTAAGACCAGTCAAATTAAAGATCTTGGTATGCCATTGAAAATAAATTACTAGAAGCTTCCACCAAATACTCTACAAGAGGAGATACTTAGGCATTACAGCAACTATAAAGAGAATGACAGTCACTATTAAAATTGTTGAACAAGGACTTTTACAAGCAAGTAGAGTGTCAGCATGCAAAAAATCCACTTTTTCTGACACTAGCATTACAAAGCATTGTTGAGTATGCAATATCATTGCAGCCATGATAAATTTTAAAAAGCAAAGCATTAAGTTAATAGTTTATGCAAATCAAAACCCACAGATTTGACCAAATCCAAAATTCCATTATGCGATTACATGCTGACCTATTCAAAATAGAAGCTCTACGCCCCTACCATTAGTTGCCAAATTTCAGGCTAGATAATCGAGTAGCACACACTGAGCACCAAGAGTGTCAATTGATTCATGGCTCAATATTGCATTTCTTGCAGATTCAAATATAAAACCTCAATAGAGAAAGATCAACTGTTATTATTGACATGAAATGCTAAAATATCTAACTTCTCTTCAGCTTCTTTCCCAACTATTGATTGATCTAGTAGACCCAATGTCAAAAAATTTCATAGAGTTAGCAAAGAGATCCCTTACCTTCCTTCAGCAAGTTACATATAAATGATCTATTCTATGAAAGAAGAAATTATTTTAGGAAAAAAAAAAAGGACAGATAATACAGGACAGGAGGATGAAGCATCCTCAAAGTGTTAAAAAGCAAGGTAAGCAAGAATTGACTCTTGGATACAAGCTTCAGGAGTTCCTATTGTCCTTATTGGTCTTGCACTTTTGAGAGAGAGATGCATGGTGCACATAAAACATGAAAAAGATAGCTCCATAAATTTACTTACTGTAAAGAGAGGACAGAGGCTACAATAAATTACTTAAGCTATAGGCAATTTAATACACAAAAGGAAAAACTTCAAACAATTTTTAAAATCTAAAGATTTGGCTTATTCTAACTACTAAAATTTACCTGGGAAGCAGCAGCAGAATGATCAGGAGGTGTGCCCTTTGGATCAGCCCAGCTGACAGTTGGGGTATGACCATCAAGCTTAAAATTAGCATTTAACATTTTCTGCCTTGAATAATCAGCACAAGCATTATTGTAATACAATATAAAAGCAAAACCACGGTTACGAGTTGGATTTTGAGGATCCTGAAATTATGAGGACAGTAGCATTAGCAAGGTGAGCAGTCACTATCTAATTGAAAGGTGAGAAAATTGTTCAATTCCAAACTCCACCTTTATGAGCTCGATAACTTCAACCCCAGGACCGACCTCCTCAATGACTTTTCTAAACTCATCCTCCATCAAGTTCTTTGGAACATTACCAATAAACAACCTATTTTTAGTTTCAGATATTGAACACCTTAAGGTTTTTCCCTGCAGACGATGCTAGAAAGTTAGTTTAAAATTAGAAAAACAGAAAACACCGACATCATGCAAGTGAATGAATTACTACACCGAATCATGATTACCTTGTAGTCTTTACTATGAAGCTCTTCAGTGGCCTTTCGAGCAACCTCCTTTGATTTGAATGCTACAAAAGCAAAACACTTGCTTTCACCGGTGTCTTTATCTTTCATTAGCCTTATCTGAAACATGCTTAAGGTAAAAACCACATTAACAATGCCAAAAAGAAAATAAACACCAATATATCTCGTGTACAAAACAGCAAAATTACGACCTCAAAAATTTCTCCTATTGGTTTACAGAGATCCCTCAAATCATCTTCAATCACATCCTTTGGAAGTCCACCAATGAAAACTTCAGAACCATGGGGAGGAAGAGCAAGAAGTTGAGCATGCTTCTGTTTTTCCTCTTCATTAACAGAAGCAGTGGGCTTTTGTTCATCTTCTAATAGATCGGTGTTGGCAGGGCTTCTATCTGCCTCTGGAGATTGATCTTTCTGACTGCCCTCAGTTTTGGAGTCCTCATACTCCTCTTCAACATTTTCTTCAGCATGTGCATCTCCAGCATCATCTTCTCCATCCTCATCTAGTTGATCTTCAACATCATCATCTATCTCTTCCATATAATTGTCTTCATCAAGATCCACTCGTTCCTCAATTTCTGTGCCCTCTGCCATGACTTTTTCACACACCAGGTCTTATCATCCAACAACTGCAGTTAAATTGCCCCTAAATTAACTGCAAGTTTAAGCAATCATCATGGAAAATGTGTGGAACCTGCACGAATATTGATATGGACTGGTTCCAGAGAGGAAGAAAGGTGAGAATTTGACATGCAGAGTAGAAAAACCCTCCATGTGCAGATTAGAGCTGGGAAGCTACAGAAATGTAGGGCCAAAACGACTAGCAATAAAAAAAAATTGTTATAGTATTTGTGGTCTGTGGAGCATGTTTTAACATTTGTGGAGTAGTTATAGCGTTTTTGGAGTATGTTATAGCAATTGTGGAGTGTGTTATAGTATTTGTGGAGCATGTTAAAGTATTTGTGGAGTGTATATCACGGACAGAGCAACTATAGTTCTCTTGCTCCAATTGGTCAACTAGGAACCAAAGAAGAAAGGAAAATGAAATAAAAAACCTAATTGTCCTTTGCATTCGACCCTGACAAAGACAAAACAGGAACAGAAAAACCACTCAGATTCCATAGGTATCATTACTTGGCTGAATTAAGTTAAAATCTGCACTTTTCTTGCTCATCATTCTTTTTTATTTATTAGACTAAAAGGAGAGCTTGATAACAGAAAAAAAATGCATAAAGTTGAACTAGAAGTAAAATATCTTCATCAGAAACTATGTACTCGCAATCGAAGTACATACTACAAGATTTTGAATCTAAATCCAAACTTAAAAAGAAAAAAAAACTCCCATATACAGATAAACAAGCTTAACTTTTAAATCAGTGAGCAGGTAAATTAGGTTTTTATCTCTAATTGGTCAACATCTCAAGGGTGGTTCAAAAATTTCACACCAAAACATAAACCCACTTCAAAATTCTTACTCTGGTTACCAATAAAAAACCTAATCCCAAAATACCCATAAATTAAACAGAAATAGCAAGAATATAGTACAACATTAGAGATAGCAAGCAAACCCTAAATCCTGCCTAGTACAAATATAAAAATAGACTGGATTAAATCAGCATAACAAAACCTTGATTGAAATGAAAAACTAGCAGATTCGAACAGAATGAACTAAAAAATCCTACCAAAAACAAAAAACTGTCGAATTTGAGCAAAACGTTATATATAAGAAATAAACTTTGCTGCACAAAGAGAGGGCAATAAAGGAGTGAAAAGAAAATTAAACAAAAAAGGAAAAAGGAAAAAATTACCAGCGGACCAGTGGCTGTGTGTTCCTTTTTTTTCTTTTTTTTTTCGCTTTTGTTGTATTTCTGTTCCGTGAAACTTTTCTGTTTATTTTCTTCTTCGCAGTTGTTATCCAAGAAATCCAATGAATGAGAGTGTGTGACTCTCTCTCTTCCAGAAGACCCTAACTAGGAAACTGCTTTTGATCTAGTGCGACGGAGGATATTTTAGTACCAATGGACCCTCGCCAATTCATGACAATAGCGTATTATTGCAAATGAGAGCCCGTCGTGGCCCGACCCTATTGCACCACCAAATGTTGTCTGTGAGTCAGGTTATTTAGGAATGCAACTTCAGTAGGACAATAAATTTCATCTAAGGCTAAATACGGACGAGAGACCGATAAAAAATAAGTATCACAAGAAAAAAATGAATAGGAATTTGAAAAGAGAGTCAAAGAGTGCTTAAAATTATCGAGAGGGAAGTAGATGGGGCGAGCGACGCGTCCCGATCGGATGTGGAACGATGCCGGTCAATCCATCGATCGACTCAAGGCGTGGATCGATGCGAATTATGGGGGCAGCCCAAGCTCGAGCTTTTGAAACGATCGCAAAGACGATGTCATCACAATCGTAGATCGCAACATGTGCCGTCACGGCATGCCTCGACACCAACGCTCTCCGAGCATCAAACCGTGGGCTCCTCATTCGTCCCGTCTTGAAACATGGACCAAGGATTCGACATGTGTGCGAGTCAACGGGCGAGTAAATTTGCAATACGCAAGGAAACCGATTGGCGGGATCCCCTCAAAGGTTGCACCATTGATTGACCTTAATCTTCCGATAAAGGTTCGAGTGACAACAAGCCTTTCGAGACCCGAAAGAGGGTGAACTATGCCCGAGCGGAGTGAAGCCGGAGGAAACTCTAGTAAAGGCCTGCAGATCAAGTGGGCCATTTTTAGTAACTAGAATTAACAAAGCGGGATGAATCGAAAGTCGGGTTACGAGTGCCTAACCGCACGCTAACTTAGAACCCACAAAGGATGTTAGTCGATTAAGACGATAGGATGGTGGTCTTGGAAGTCAAAATCCTCTAGGAGTGTGTAATAACTCACCCGCCAAATCAACTAGCCTCGAAAATGGATGAGGACGAATCCCATGACCTATACCCAATCGTCTGACAAGCCGTCAAACCCCGATAAGTAAGAGGACGTGACGGTCACCGCAAAACTCAAGGTATGAGCCTAGACGGAGCGTTTATTGATATAGATCTTGGTGGTGGTAGCAACACTCGCACGTGGGTTAATCGATCCTAAGAGATGGGGAAGCCCATCTAATAGTGTGTTCACGCGTGAGCTTTGAAAAGGAATCGAGTTAAAATTCCTAAACCGGGATGTGGCGACCGATGACAATGTTAGGGAGTTCGAAGACATTGGCGTGGGTCCGAGGAAGAGTTATTTTTTTTATTTAATAACCCGCCCATCCTAGAAATGACTTAGTTAGAGGTAGGGTCTAGCGATTGAAAAAGCACCATACGTTGCGTGATGTTCGATGCACCCTCATTGGCCTTGGAAAATTCGAAGGACCAAGTGCCTTCCATGCCCGATCGTACTAATAGCCGCATCAAGTCTCCAAGGTGAACAACCTCTAGTCGATGGAACAATATAGGCAAATGAAGTCGATAAAATGGATCCACAACCTCAAGAACAAGGATTGGCTCGAGGGCTAGGCTTGGGGGTCTCAATCTTGAACTCCGTCGACTGTCGATGGATTGCTTCGCCTACTTTTACAATGAGAGCGGGTCGTCGTATGTCGATCGAGGGACGGACCGGGAACGGCCTCTTCGGGGTTTTCCCCGACGTTGAATATTTTGACTCATAATTGGTACGGATAAGGGGAATCGATTGTTTAATTAAAACAAAACATTGTGATGATCCTTATAAATGCTCACACAATATGATTTCTATTCAATGCTTTGAATGTCAAAGTGAAGGAATTCAACCAAACACGGATAAACGATGAGAGTAACTATGACTCTCTTAAGGTAGCCAAATGCCTCATCATCTAATTAGTGATATGCATGAATAGATTAACAAGATTCCCACTCTCCATGTTTACTATCTAGTAAAACCACGAACAAGAGAATGAGTTTAATGGAATTAGCGAGGAAAAAAGACCCTATTGAGCTTGACTCTAGTCCAACTTTGTGAAATGACTTGAGAGGTATATGATAAGTAAGAGCTTCGTCGAAGTTGAAATACCACTACTTTTAACATTATTTTACTTATTTTGTGAATCGAAGGTAGGGAGCATCCTCTCGTTTTTAGACCCAAGGTCGCTTCGGCTTCTAGATCCTAGTGGAAGACATTATCGGCTAGGGAGTTTGGTTGAGGTGGCACATCTATTAAAAGATTACGCATGTGTCCTAAGATAAGCTCAACGATAATAGAAATCTCACATGGAGTAAAAGGGTAAAAGCTCATTTGATTTTGATTTTCGATACAAGTACTAACTATGAAAGCACAACCTATCAATCCTTTAGACCTTTGAAATTTGAAGCTAGAGATGTCAAAAAAGTTTCCATATGGATTATTGACTTATGAGAGCCGAGCGTTCATAGCGACGTTACAAGTGTTCGACTTGTTTAGCCACCAATAAGGAACATGAGTCGGGTTTAGACCATCGTGAGATGGGTTATTTTACCCTACCGATGATAGTGTCATAATAGTAATCTAACCTAGTATGAGTGAAATTGATGATTCGTACAATTGGTATTGCATTTGTTTGAAAAGCCACTTAAACAAAGCTACGAGTGTGTTGGATTATGATTTAAAGCCTTTAAGTCAAAATCTAGGCTAGATGTCATGCATGTGCTTGTCGTTCAATTGTCGACCTATAGTGAGAGCCTTGTGGCCTTGGAGGCACGTGTCATTAGCCAAAGCCCTTGTAGGGAATGAGCTGTGCGGGCCACCTCGAAGTACAATTCTTATCGAGCGATGGGTAAAATCCTTTGCGGACAACTTATTTTTCCTTAACATTAACAAGATATGGTTTAATGGCATATTTTGCCTCCATTCTATTGCAATTTGGTAGTTTTAGATCTTTAGTACCAAATTGTATAATTTGAACCCTAAACCATTGGCTTTTGGACAAAATTGATCCAATTTCCTTAATTATCGTTATATGTAATAGGTTGATCGCTACTTAGAATGTCAAACTATTGGGTTGTTAATTATATTTTTTATAAATTATATAAAAAAATATTCTATAAATATTTTTAATGAGAAAAAAGCTTTTTTGGTGTCCAACCTTTCAATTTTTTTTTTTGTTTTAGTGCCCAATAATTGATTTCTCATGGTTGAGTACCCAAGTTTTGATTTTTTTATTTGTTTTGATGCTTGAGTTCACTTGAATTATGATTTTGTTGACATGTCCGATGAGATTTGCCATGTGGCGATCAACCTTACCATGTCAAGCACATCATACTATCGAGTAGCCATGGAAACTTAAATAAATAAATCATAGGTTAGATATTGAAATAGGAACAAAATTAAAGATTGGCCATCGAAATAGAAAAAAATAAAAGATCAATGGTAGGATACCATAAATATAGTTTTCTCACACTAAATGTTTATCTCCTTCTTGTACTCGATATATCCTTTTTATTATAAATAGATTTCATGCATTTTTTATACTTTCATAATCTTTATATATATATATATATAATCTCGTAAAATTTTCTTTTTGATATTACAAGTCATATAATTTTAAATTCTAAGAACATTAGCAATTACATGCATGTATATTTTTTTA